ATAGTTCTGTAGTTTTCTTTCCAAGTAATGCCTTTTTTTGCCTGGTGTTGGTGTTAGGGTTATACTTGCTTCATCAAATGACTCTGGGAGATTTCCTTCTTATTTTAATTTTTGAAATAATTTAAGTAGAATTGTTGATAGTTTTTTGATCTTTTGGTACAATTCAGCTGTGAAGCCGTAGAGGAGTTTGGTTGGTTTTTTTTTGGGGGGGGGTTTGGGTTATTTTGTGGTTTTTTTTAGCTTCTCAAGTAATTGCATTCTCTGAAGAAGATTGTAGCATCAGGATTGAAGGAATGCTTATCAACAACCTGTATTATTCAGGTGTCAGAACTTTGTTAATAGAAAATGAGGAGGAATTGAAGTATTTATTGAAGAAGATAAAAAACTAAACTCTTCAATATGGATTACATCTGAACGTCAGGAAAAATTTTCACTATTGGATCTATTTGCAATATGATAGACAAAGGATAGTTAAGGTTATCAAAAGCTTAATTTTACTCAGATCCAAAATCAATACCCACTGTAATATCCATCAAGAGAAAAAAATCATATTGCATTAGGAAAATTGGCTGTAAAAGAACTTTTTAAAATTCTGAAGAGCAAAGATGTCCATTTAAAGACTAACATGTGCTTGATCCATGCCATGATATTTTCAAATACTTCATTTCTATTTGACATTGAATAATTAGGACACTGAATAATTATTACCAAATAATTGATGTATTTTAATTATGTTATTGGGAAGGATTATTGTTTATACCATGGATTGCAACAAGAACAAATATATTTGTCTTGGAGGAAGTGCTAACCAAAGTGATCCTTAGAGGCAAGCATAGTGAAACTTCATCTCATATACTTTGAACATGCTGGAAAAAAGACATCGATCTGAGAAAGAGAGAGGGTTAGCCAAAGAGAAAAAAAACTGCCATGGAGATGAATTAACATAGTGATTGCAAAAATGGGTTTGAGCATGGCAGAGATTGAGATAATGTTGCAGAATATGCCAAGGTTCAGAGCTATTATTCATACGGTCAATATGTTGTTTTGGATCTATGTTATTATGTACCATCCAGTCAGAATTAATTCATAATGCACACCCTTCAGTGGCTTTTAAGATGCTGTAAATTGCAAGGGATGAAATTGCCCATGAATTACTGGTGGATTTGAACTACATGCCTTTGAGTTGCAATATCATGATAGATGGAGAAAAGGTTGAAGTTGTCAATGATTTCATTTTACTTGGATTCATAATCAATATGCACAGTGACAGCAGTTAAGAAATCGATAAAGTATATTGCACTGGAAAATTAACTTTCAATGTCCTACCAAAAGTTCTAAAGAGCACTGATATCAGTTTAAAGAGTATTATGTGCCTGAGCCAAGCCATTCATTGTATTTTTAGTTGCTTCCCATATGTTTAAAAGTTAGACAAGGAATAAAGATGAAAGAAAATTAATCTATGTCTTTGAAATGTGGGTTCAGAGAACAGTATTGAATATCTCATGGAATTACAAAAGCACAAACAAATATCTATCCTGAAGGATATGCAACCAAATTATCAAATTAAAGGAAAAAATAGTGAAATTTTGCCTCACATAATTTGGTCATACAGTCAAAAGTTTCAATTTTTGGAGAAAAGACTTCATACTGGAAAAACTGGATATTTAGAGAAAGAAAGAAGACCCTCAACAAAATGAAAGGACACAGTGACTGCAGCAGTGTAGTCAAACATGGTGGAGATTGTGAGAATGGTGCAGGATAAGGCAAGATTCAGATATGCTGTTCAAAAAGAGTCTACTAACCATAGTTGACTTGATGGCACATAATAAAATATACTCAAGTTATATAGCCTAATTTGTCTTTGTCCTATCTCCTGTAGTTCAGAAATTCAAATCTGAGCTTGAGTTTGTTTTTGGTTGGTGTTGTTTTTTTTCTTTTCCCCTTTGGTAAGTGTTTTTTGGTTTTGGGTTTTTTGTATTTTTTTAATTAATTTCAATGAACATTTACAGAGATTTTGGATTTCCATTCATTCATTGTTGCACTTTTCTCCCTGCCCACTCCACCCCCCAGTTTGCTCTTCTCCTTGAAACGCAAAAGAAAAACTCCTTCATTGGTATACAATCCCCCACACACACCCTCACCCCCACCCCTAGTATACTCCACTCTGCAACCCTCATTAAAAGCATAGTTGCTATTCTTCTTGCTTATTGTTATATGTTCTATGTACCTCAAGTCAGAACTGACTCATAACTGACTTCCAGTAGGTTTTCAGATACAGTAAATCACATGGGAGGAGATTGCCAATCTACAGCTGTAGTAGATTCAAACTACATGTCTTCTTTTTGCTAGGTGTCATCAAGCTGACTATGACTCAAAGCAACCCTGTATAAACCATTTTCAGTCCTTGACCTATCCTGTACAGTAATAAACAAAATTAAAGCTGCCTTCCCTTGATGTAAAACAAAACAACATAAAAAAATCCCCTCACATACTCTAAAAACAAAAACAAAATCTATCTCTTTGTAGAACTACAGTCAGACACTGAGTGGTACAGGGTCAGGTAGATATTCATTCTGCGGTGTATAAGGTATCTACGAGCCTATTTGAGGACACCTAACACTGCCACAATAAGTATACATATGATTAAAGAGACCATGCCATTTCCTTTCCCTCCCTCTTTCCTTCTAATCTTTAGTTCCTTCTTTCATTCTTATTTCTTTCAAATGAATTCATTTTCATAAGGCTACCTAAGGCTTTCTAGACCTCAAATAAGAGATTAAATTTATGTATTTGAGTTTTGATCAAATTATTTTCTTTAGAAATTACTCTACTATTCATTCTCTAATTCATTTCTCTACTTGACTGTGCTCATGCAAAACTTATATTTGGGCAAGGAAACATTGCATGGTTCAAAACAAGAAAAAGAGTGCACTGAGGATACTTCCTGTCTCCATACATTTTCAATCTGTATGTGGGACAGATTATTCAAGAGGATGGACTTTATGAGCAGGAATGTGGCATCAGGATTGGAGAACACTCGCCAAAACCTACAATATACAGATGACACAATCTTACTGAACTGGGGAAGGCCTCGAAGCACTTGTTGCAGAAACTCAAGGACTGTAGTCTTGAATGTAGATTAAATCTCAAGATCAAGAAAACAAAGATTCTTACCACTAGGCCAATTGACAGCATCATGGTATATGGAGAAAAGATTGAGGTTGTTAAGAATTTCAGCTTTCTTTGCTCCATAATCAACACTCTTGGCTCTAGCAATCAGGAAATCAAAAGACGAATTACAAAGGGAAAATGTATTGTTGGGGCCTTCTCCAGAGTACTGAAAAGTATGGTTGTTAGACTAGAGACTAAAGTGCACCTAATCCTGATCATGATCTTTGCAATTACTTGCTATGCTTAAGAGATCTGGACAATGACTAAGGATGACAGAGGAAGGATTGATGATTATGAGTTGTAGTGCTGCAGAAGAGACTTGAACATACCATGGTCCACCAAGAGAACAAACAAGTATTCTTAGAGAGTGTGAAACCAAGTTTCTCCTTGGAAGCTAGGATTTTGAAGCTCTGTCTCACAAGGTTTGACATGTGATCAGGAAGGACCAGTCCTTGAAGAAGAACATCATTCTTGGAAGGCTGAAGGAACACTGAGAAGAGGAAGACCCCAGACGAGATGGATTAACATAGTAAATAGAATAATGTGGGTGGGTGTGTCGGAGTCAGTGAGACTATCTCAGGATAGGGCAGACTTCAGAGTTGTGCATAGAGTCATTATGAGTTTCAGGTGACTTTACAGCATAATACAACAACACAACTTATTAATTCATATTAAAAAGCACCAAACAACAATTACCAATAGTTTTAATAAAATAATGACTCATTTCATTTTTCTGGCACTGACCAAAGATAGTCAGAGGTAGAGGCAGAAAATTATGGTTCTGGTGGAGATTGTGAAATGGAATTGTGTAACTGTATCTCTGCAAATGGCTGCCATATAAGGAGAAATAAAAATACAGAACATGAAATGATAAAAGCCAGGTCTACAATAAGGATGCATAATTTATTTCCTATCAGCTAGCATTTCAAAAAACTGCAAGGGGGCAAATATAATCTAACGCTGTACCCAAGAAGCAAAGGAGTTTAGGGAACACAAAATATTGTTCCTGCCACATCACTGAGGATGAATAAGTACAAAGTTTATAAATTTTGTTCAAACTGTCTTGTTGTTTGTTGTTGTTGTTGTTGTTGTTGTTGTTAAGTGCCGTCAAGTCATAGACGACTAATAGTGACCCTATGTATGGAAGGCCTGAGAATTGTTCATAAAATTTCTAGATAGAAATTTTTTTCTAATAGAAAAATATTTATTCATGTCTCTAATCCTCTGTAACTTTGTGATTCCTTGGTAGTCCCAGAACAAGATATTTTCAACACTGCATTTTTACTTTCAATCCCTGAAAGTAAAATGACTTATAAAGCAAATATTTAGGTGCATATTAAGTATTATTTAATGACCATCTAGGAAGCTCTGGTGGCCTAGTGTCAATAAGCTGTGCAACAATCCTGAAACTACCAGGGGCTCCAAGGGAAGAAGGATGGGCAATTCTTTCAGTATGTTTAACGACCTCAGAAAACTCACCAAAGTGCCAGCTATGGGTCGGTTCTGACTGTATAGTACACAACAAAAACAAGAATCAACCCTTCTAAACTACAAGCTAAATATGGGCAGAGAATTTTTTTTTAATTTACATATGGATATCCCCTCTGTGGCACTTACCTTTGCAACTCCTACAGTGCTTTGCATACTTCCTGATCCTTTTGTAAAGGGTGATGTAAATTGTTTTCAATTTTAATCTGTAGCCCATTTCTAGGCAAATTTTTTAGGTTTTGTATATATCTATATTTCTTTACATTCAGTGTGAGTTCTAATAAGTAGAAACTGTTAAAAATTTGACAATGATGTTATTTATCTGTCTTTCTGTTTATTAGTCCAGATAAAGACGGTGTGAACGTTCTCATGGTGCTCATGTTTCGATACCCATCTACTGATAGTGTTGAAAGAATCAAGAAAAGAATTGAAAAGATTTTATATCAGAGTATGAAGACTAAGCCTTTGCCTTTGACTATAAACAAACCATCATTTAAAATCACACGTAAGTCTTTTTGCTGGTTTGTCTTACTATTTTTTGTTTTCTTTCTCTCACAAGTCCCTTCCTTTTCATAAGAATTTAAGTTAATATATTCTTTCATTTCAAGAAAAATTTGAGCAGGGACCAAAAAATGCTCAGAAGTGAAGAGTAAAGTGGGTTAAGAGGTTGTGTAGGGAATAGTTGGGAACTCTATATTGGTTATATGGGAAAGACTTTCATATTTCCAAGGTCTATCGCCTGCGATAAGGCAACATTTATTGTGAAGGAAGAATTCTCACTGAGAAGGAGTCATTAAGTTACATTGACTGAATTAATACTTGGTGGACCAGAATCTTGAGATTAAATCATTATGGGTATAAAACGGACTTTCACTCCCAGAAACAGGCCTTTCGACATCTGCCACTGGGCATATTGCCACATCCATAGGCTGGAACACTTGCTATTGTCAACCCTGGTTGTGATGGGAATTAGTGATCACTTTCTTAAATATATTGTACCCACCAAAGAAAGTAATCAGCAACATTTATATTTATTAATTCTCTCCTAATTTCTTACCTTAGTCTTCAATTTGCTAAGAAGAAGCCAGGAAATAAAATGTTCTGTTTTCCTTTTAAAGTAAAATTACAGTTTTAACCCAAACCAAATTTAAAGTAGAGAATTATTTATCTAGCATTAGTTATAAAAAAATTCTCATATGTTTTTGAAATATTAACCCAAAGGAGAGTCAGCTATATGTCAGTTATGATTCCATCGCAATGACTTGAGTTGTTGTCTTCAGATAATGTACATGTTAAGTAATACATCAACAGAGAACTGCAGAAAACGTAAGATGGACTTAGAAGACACAAAAGAACAAAGAATATAATTGTTGATATCAGATGGATCTTGATTGAAAGCAGAAAATATAAAAAAAATAAGCTTTTGTGTTGACTTTGCAAAGGTGTAGATTAGGACAATTATAACATTGAGGAGAAGTAAAATTCTACAACTTATCTGTGCTGGCTATGTGAATCATGTTCATAGGCCATGAAGCAGTAATGTGAACAGTCTGCATTATATGCAATTAGAAATATGTTCATCATGGTTGTATCCTTTCACTTATTTAATTTTTTATGCTGAGCAAATAATCCCAGAGGCTAGGCTGTATGAAAAAAAATATAGTATCAATACTGAAGGAAGACTCATCAACAAATTGTTATGTGAATGACACAACCGACAGCCTTTTTAACAAATGCGTTGGCAAAATTGGAAAAATATCTGCAAGAGACTCAAGCAAGAACCACACCTCACTCCATACACAAAAACCAACTCAAGGTGGATCATGGACCTAGGACTAAAACCAAGGACTATAAA